ATTGAATTTCATATAAACTTGCTTTCCCAAAGATATTCTCATTTGGAAGCAAGATTATATGAAATTCAATAGAAGTATGAAGCCTAATGATATCATTGTGGGAAATTCAACCACCAGTCCTCCATCCCTTTCAAAAAAATAGGGTAAACAAAGCTCTTATATTAGAACCCTTACGGAAGATTTACTGATAGCGGATATATATAAACGGTGTAATAGTAAAATCCCAGTTTGTCTCAGCGGTAATCCGCCTATAAAGAATATATGAGGCCTGGCCTTTCTTGAAATTCGTCTTTCCTATGACTTACGGGCACTCGTGGCAATGTGGCGTAATAGCAACATGTCGAAATAAAACGCTGCACTATTTGGGTTCGATTCTCCTTAGAGGTGCTGATGAGGCCCGATGGGGGTCAACCCTGTAGTCCATCCTAGATGAACATATCTTTAGGGAAGCAATGCTAAATTAAATGGAAACATGAGGTCTATTAATTTCATGAGGGAAAATTTAACTACCAGTACTTCATCATCTTATGCGACCTAGGGGGAATAGATAGTCTTAAAATATAGTTCATATTAATAAAAGGTAAAAATGTTTACAGTTAATATTAGTTTTACCCTATGTTGATATATATTCGGGTAATGTGCTAGCAAAAATCACAGAATCCTCCATAGGAAACGACACAACCAGAAGTGAACGAGAAGAACCAGCTAGCTACGAGACAATAAACGGGTAAATGATAAAATATCTTAAAAAAGTTAAAGCGTTTAAGAAGATGAGATAACCAGGTTTGATTATTTAGGTGTCAAGCGGACACATTGAAATGTTTTTCTCAAATGTGCATTACCTGCCAAGAGTCATTGGCGTCCGGGTTCCATACCAGGGGCAGAGTCTCTATGGGTCGGACATCTTGTGTGTCCGAGTGAGGATGTCTTGTCTGAATAGCCGATTCGGCAGGCCCAGGCAACGCAGCATTTACCTGCCCCTCTATTGACCTGTTGGCGATATGACCACTAGCTCCGTCGATGGGAAACTGATGGGCCAATCGAAGCGAGCCCGAAACTGACCCAGAAATGGAACGACCTGCAAATGTATGGGATGAAGCATAGCGAGGTGCCATAAATTCGGGTGCATCCATTGGAGAAGATGGGAGAGAACCAGTCGACGCCACACTATCAACGTCGGTATAAACAGCTGCCGAGACTGCAGCTGTTGATTCAGTTATAGATGAGTTAGTTAGCACAAAAAGGTCAGATTCATTGGCTGTTGGAGTCAAATTGCGAAAGCTGGCATTATCAGAAACGGATTCCGGCGTGGAGCCCGATTCTAGAGAAGCTATGTTAGATCCAGAAAATCCAGATCTAGAAGTCGAGATGGATCCAGGTTGGACAGATTTTCGAGAATAGGCGGGATCGGCCGGCTGATTGAAATCTGTTCTTGCGGATACAGCATCAATTTTGATGCGAGAAAGGCGATTGCGAATTATCCGGCCCGAGCCATGATGGGGTGTGACGGGCAGATTTGAGAATCGAGGTCGAGTCAAATAGTCAGCATGCAACCACCTGGAGAAAAGCTGAGGTGAATGACGGGCTCGAAAATCAGCAGTATAGCGGGACACCCAACCCTGAATGCATAGTAGAATAGTAATAATGAGAGTTAAGTAAAAATCTAGTAGATTATATCCGTGACGAATAGTAATTTTAAATTAGATTTCTTTATATTTTAACTCAATAGGCAAGTTTACCTGATAGAAATGATCAATAATATTTTGGATGGTGGTTGTTTGACCTTGTTTTCGCAACATGGTCATATTTGTAGGAAGACTTATTGGGACGCAACTCGTCCGGGGTCCATTGTCTGCATGATCATTTTCAAAGTTGAACCATGGACGTGGAAAATTCCCATCATTTCCAACTTTGGAAATGATCATGCAGACAATGGACCCCGGACGAGGTGCGTTCCAATAAGTCTTCCTACCAATATC